ATTTTTTTTTTTTTTTTTTTTTCCCCGGGAAACAAAGAAATAAAAATAATTCCTGGTCCGTCCCTCCCCGCCGCGTCCCCCCGCGCAGCCGCCGCGCAGCGCCCCGCCTTTCCCGGCGCTGCCCAATCAAGCGGTTGAGCCCGCCGGAATGACGGCGTGCTCGGCCAATCGGCAGCGGGGAAAGGCAGACGGACGGCCTGGGAGGCCCATCGCGGCATCAGAAAGTTGGTCCCGCCCCGCGCTATCGGGTGGCCCGCCCACGCCCTTGATTGACGGCCGCGAGAACCCGTCAAAGAGAAGGATTCGTGGATTGATGGCTTGTGGGCCAATCCCTGAATAGGTTTTGTTCTTCTCCCGCCTACTGTCCTTTTGGGCTGGCTCTCGCCCCGTGTTGTGATCGACAGCAAAACCGCCCAATGGAAGAGACAAATAAAAATCAAAGGACAGCTCAGCTATCCATTCGGAAACGGAAGAAGGAGGGCTCAATTTCCTCTGTCACCGTAGCACTGAAGTACCGCCCCCCAAACTTGATTGACAACCTCTCTGGCAAATAGGCTGTTGGCAAAAGGAGAGCTAAGTCTCAGGTGTAAAGGTAAGTGGAGGCAGCTTGTCGTGCCCTGTGCTTCCCCCATAGCGCTGCCCTGGGCTGATGGCTCACCAGAGGGTAAAAAAAAAAAACCCTCAGAGTGACTGACGGACTCCTCCCGCCAATAAAGAACGCACACAGCAGAGTGACAAGCGATCGGTCCAATCGCGGGGCAGGAAGCCGGGGAGGGCGGGGCGACTCGGCCTCTCTTCCCCCGATCGGCCCAAAGACGGACGATGGCTGGAGATGGGCCAATCATAGGCCATGAGGGACGCCAGCCTTGGGCCAATGGGAGGCTAGTCCCTAAGGGAGGCCTGTTGGGAGGGGTGGGTGTTCAGCCAATAGGAGCCGAGGGGCGGGGAGGTTCCCACCGACCCTGCTGCCGCCCGGGCCTGCCTAGTCACGGCCGGGCGCCGCCTCTTCTCCGCGCCGCCGCCGCCGGTTCAGGGCCCGGAGCCAGGGCTTTGGGCCTCCCCGCTCCGGTGGCCGCTCGGCAGAGCCCCCACCCCAAGTCCTGTGGTCCCTTTTGGACTGTGGATAACCGTGAGGAAACCAATGGCGGCCCCCGAGGCTGAGGGAGGCCGCCAACGCGGCTAGGCCCGCCTCGGCCCCGCCCGCCCTTTGGCTGACTGGAGGGTAGCGATGCCCGGGGCGCCCAGCGCCTCTCCGTGCTGCCCTTCTCTTCTCCGGCCTCGCCCGGAGCTGGGTGGGGTGTCACGGACCTGCCAGGCCTCTCTGGGGGTTAACGGGCCTCCCTGAACAAGGGTTGGGCTGAGTCTGAGGAGTGCGAGTCCCGATATGGCGTTAAAACTGGCACAGAGGAGTGCACCTGAGGCTGCTGGCCTTCTTGGCTGAGCCGATGGGGATATTTTGCTGGTAGTGGAGCTCTGATCTGAAAGTTATTTTGTACTTCTCCCTGTCTGAGATCACTGAGCTTAAGTCTTTCGGTCCGTGAGGGAGTTTAGGCTGGAAGTCCAAACATCAGCGTTGGCGGTGTGGCATGTCATCCTGGGGGAAAAACATGGGTAAATTCCTAGCCTTTGGTGTATTTTCCCTGAGTGTTAATGCTGACAGCAGATTTGGTAACAAGTGTCAAAAGAGCTAGTTGTGTTCATTTGACCATGGCAAAATGGTGGAAGGAGCTTTGGGTCATTCTTACCCTGGGTATGAGTCCTAATGGTTTGTCTTGCAGGAAACAAATAAAAGCTAATTAGATATATTGCATTTATAAACCACACAAAGACACTGCATCAGTTAGCTAAATCAATTCTTAAATTGCTGTTTCAGCTATCATCTTTTTCTTGTTTAGAGAAAGTTCACTAGGAGTTCTGGTTCTGTCTGAATTACCACGTGATCACAGAATTCCTATAAAAAGGAGCTGAATGTAGATCTTTCTGTATCAGGATTTTTCTGAAGTCAGGGCAGCGCTCTGCATGTCTGGAAAAGTCCTTTGAATGCTATGTAGGAGTTTCTGAAATGGGGGTAAGGATACTTGACGGTTTTGTTAGGCCTAAATAAAAGCTGGTAAAGCAAATTGATACTGCATGTGAGGAAGGTGCAAGTTGCCACCACAAATGCAAACCTTTCACAGATGGCTTGAAAACTACTATTGTGCCATACGGCCTGGGTTTGCAGGAGGAATGTCCTAAAATACAAGTGAACAGGAATTTTTCTGCGTATGTGCTTGTCTGACATATTTCTGTCACCAGTAGGTGGCTTTCTACCCATTTGTACGCATTGTTACTATCTCAACCCCCAGCATGCAAGCACAGCACTGAGTTTGAAATGTCCTCAAAGTAGAAAGTCTGAGGCATAATTACAGTACTTTAATCTTCTGGACTACATGAACAAAGAAGCGTTCAGTTTACCAAAAGCACAGTGAATACTGAGAAGATGGTAATGTTCATATTATGGATTCATAAATTGTCCTCAACAACCAAATAATCTAACAAATTATGACATCTGTGCACAGCGATATACTGAACATAGTTAGCTTTCACCATATAGCCCTGCTCATGTGCCCAAAATACTAGTTCTAGTGGCTCCTGGTTTAAAAAAACCAACAACTAAAAAAAGCCTTTGCCTTACCAAAAGGCTCAGAACCTGTAAGGCAACAGGTACTTTGTAGCCACAATGTGGTAATAGAAGTTGCTACACTTCTGGATGAAGGCTAGGTCTGAATTAAAGAATCAGGAGGGTGTAGGTCTGTGGTTTGGTTCTCAATTAAAAGCCAGCAGCACACTGAACAGTGCTGTCTGCCTGCAACTTCCCAGCCTGGGGATTACCAAGGTCTTCCAGAGTGTTCACTGTAGCTGTTTCCATAGCCATAGTATAACCAATAGACCAATCTTACAAGTAGCATCAGAAATGCTACATCACCTCTGCATGTCCAGAGATTCTTGATTCTCTGGTGTTGGGTTGGATTCATCATGTATGAGAAGGTTTGTCGTGGGGCATGGATGTAGAGCTATAGCCTAACCAACCCGAGAATCACATTGAGAATCTCAACAGGACCTTCCCTGACCTTTACATGAAGGGACCTGGATCTCGGATGGATATGAGCAATGTAAATAAATAATGTTTTTGCATGAACTTCAACATCCTGTTCTTGTGAGTCCATGTTCTTCTTTACTTGCCATTTAGCTGATATGTAAGGCTCAACAGCAGCCAAAAGTACTGTATGGGTGGTATCCTGGAGCATTACAGTATTGACAGCTAGATATGTCTGTGTTCATGAGTACTTTTTGAGTTCAGTCCATGTCAGTTGTGGTAAGTTTGGGCTCCTGACATGCCACAGATAAGGAGCTGTTCCTTGCTGACGCCTCTTGGGCTTTTTATCGCTCTAAGTTTTTATTCCTTTCCCCCCACAACTCCTTTTCTATTGGTGTGAGGTTACTGGAACATTTTTATAGAAAAAAATATTAATGTGTTTGTGCTTAATGTAGTCTAGGGCACAATGCCTTCTAAATACCGCAACTTCCAAAACAGCGTGCCATGGATACTCCTTTTTCTGGAAGTTGTTTTGATTATCCTCTTTTACTTTTTGTTCTCAGACGATGATGCACCCGTATCAACCATCTCCTACCCAGGTAAGATTGGAATTGTTGCTGTGAAAGGAAGGGTTAATGCCTGCTTTTATTTTGCAGTGCAATAGAGATGGGATTCAGCAGGTTTGTGTAACTGTTAGTGAGAAGCAGAATGTTTTTACCGCCCTTTAAGTACGGTACCTTGCTATGTATGGTGTGTATTTGTATCAAACCAATGACAGTGAATGACACCATAAGTGATACTAAATTGCATTGTTGGTCTGTTTTCTGCTGCCTGTTTGTGGTAATCTTGACTCCTATGAAGGTAGCAAGCTTCTATGAACAACAAAGCTTCTGAGGGCAGGCACTGCTCTATGTTAAGCGCCTACCTCTGTGAGGTCTTGGCATGTGAAGGCGTTGTTGTGCTACAAAGTAAGAATTCAGGATGGCAGTATTTGAATGCTTGATGTAAATAAATGAAGTTAATACAGTGGAATTAAGGGTTTAAATATATTCTGGAGATTTATTTTGTGCATTGATCAAAGGAATGTATTAGCAGATTATGCTATGGCCATAGTGTGTAATGTATTTACGGTGTTGTGCAAATATGAGCTGATTAATCCTCATGACATTCTTGTGTTACCCTCCCAGTTTTATAGCTGGAAAAATGAGACCTACTTACTAGCAGTTTAATATTTTGCTATATGTAGAGGCTGGCACAACCATATGAGAATATGACTGTTAGCATGTCCCGGGGGACAATTCCAGGGCTACAGACCCAAGAGCTTATATCTTGGGTGGCCTCTTCCTTTTATGCAATGGTGCTGGTTTCCGTATTAAACTCTTTCTACTGCTGTTTCTGTTCCTTCTACGCAGATGAGGGCTTCATACAGGTTTCTCTTTGTAACTCATTTCTTCCCTAATGCCCTCAAGGAATGAATCAGCACTAATTCACAGTAACTCTCCCTGAAAAGTCCAACTTAAGCTCTTTAAATTCATTAAATGAATGTCCAAATTTCATTGCTAAATGTACTTAATTTCTGTTGTGCTTTTTGACCCCTCAACCCCCATCCTATGGCATCCATTCTGATTACTTTGTAAAAATAAATTCAGCATCAAGGGTGTTGTTTTTCTCATTACTTATGGATTGGAAGGAAAGCTCTGGAATTCCTCACTCAATAATAATGGCACCTGAATTTTTATCTGAAGGCTTCTTAGTTAATTGTGATTTTTTATTAATTTTTTTAACCAGAAATCCAGTCTACATTAATAACGTCACTGCTGTCTTGGTCTTTTCTGTCATGCAGCTTTTCAAGATGTCAGCCACATGGTGATTTTTGGTTTTGGCTTTTTCCTGACATTTCTGAAAAGATATGGGTTTAGCAGCACTGGATTCAACCTCCTGATCATTGTACTTGGTGTCCAATGCTCTGTGCTGATAGAAGATTTATTAGGTTTCCTTCTTCAAAGGGAATACGAAGATGGTCTGAAAAGGTAATTAGTTTCTGTTAGAACTGGAATAATCTAGAACTGCTGATTGCTCTTTGTGAAGGATGATGCCTTGTTATATGGACCTATTTGTGAATTAGCATAGTCATATTTGCAGACATTTTAGAAGGCTTTGGGTTTTTAAGTACATTTTACTGTCTGTCATTCTTTCTTTCTTGGCCCTGGTGTGGTCCTGATACAGAATTATTTTTTTCTTTCTTTTATTGCAGAATAACAAAGGCTGCTGTGAGTATGACTGCTGTGGTCATCTCTACTGGAGCTGTTCTTGGGAAGGCTAATCCTGTGCAGTTAATTCTTACGGCAGTTGTGGAGATAATAGCTTTCCATATGAGCAGATGGATCAACACCACATCCCTGGAGGTACTGTAGTATGATTTCCAGGCACATGGGGGAAAATTTCACTGGGACTTTGGAATGTTGCCTTTTGGTGGTTTGTTAGTGCTCTGCTGACAGGAACATCAGTGTATTTTATCTCATCTCAGTTAGACTGTGGCCATGTTTTCATTAAGAGATGAAGTCTAACTTAAGGACATGGAACTCCAAACCCTGCGCACTCTTTTATCTATATAATTGCCTAGATCTATATTCTTGGCCTTAAAGGGTGAGCTGATCTGATGGATTGGGATGTAGTGCATTTGGCCTTGCCCATGCCCTGACCATCCCCAACACATGATGACAGCCTTGACCTATGCTAAGGTACTAATCGCCTTTAAACTTTACCCCCTCCCTGTGTCAGTTCAGTCTGGAAGATTTCCAGTGTGAATGGTGTACCAGCCCAGTATGGGCAGCAGAGTCAGACTTGCATTTAATGTACAATGTAAACATACCCCAAACTCTGTATATGAATTGTGTGTTTATGTGCTGCACTGAATTCAGATAAGTTAATCTCGCATAAATAACTCATGCATAAACTGAGGGATTGTGAAAAGAAATTGCTTGTAGGGAGGTTACATGAGCAACTATATCAGGAACTGCACCAAAGGCTTCCTGTGGGATGAAATAAACCACAAATTTGATTTTTCTATTGATACAGGTTCCTGACGATATCGGCATGATGCATGTTCACCTGTTTGGAGCCTACTTTGGTCTGGCTGTCTCCTCACACTTCTCTGAGCCATCACCAAGGACTGAGAAGAATGCGAGTACCCCGAAGTCGGATTTGTTGTCAATGTTAGGTAAGGCATTTGCTTTAATGTCTCAGCTGGAAGAAGAGATTGCAGTAAGAACATAAGGAATGTTTCTAGGGGCTGGCCACGGCACACTGAAGCTTTTGCATCCAAAGTGCAGGTCTGAATGCAGCCAAGCATAGAAAACTGCTGCTGCTGTCGTTCGTGGTTTCTGACAATGAGTTGGTAAGTCTCAGCATGTTTCCCACCAGGCGTATAAGCCACTCCTGCAATGGCTGTGGCTTAGTGTGCTTTTGTCAGTCTCAGCATAAAGGCTATGCCAGGTTAACCGTTCCCTCTCCCAGCTAAGTTGTCCCCTTTGGGCTTGTATAGGCATATTGGTAAGGGACCTATGCACCAAAGTTGAGGTCATTACTTGTATTTCAGGAGTGCTTACGGTTCCTGGCTGGGGCCAAGGCTCAATTTTGTTTTGCAAGGTGCTGTACAGAGATATAAAAAAAGGCAGTCCCTGCCTAGTAACGTAAATGAAAAGATAAAAGCCTGATGAAGGGTGGGGAATGTGATACAGACAGGCACATGAGGAAGGATCTGAGTGATGATAGGCTGAATGTATAGGAGGTCCATTCTTTTTCTTAAAGAAGCAATTTGGTTTCTTTATTAGCATCACTTCTGTTATGTAACTGCCACCAGCTGAGCTAAGATCTTTCTGCAAAGGCCTACAGAGTCTTAATTCTCAGTCAGTCTTCACCCAGTTGAGGGAAAGAGAAATTTAAATGCTGCTCTTTTGAGTCCCTGGAGTTCTTGGTTTGCTGGAGAATTCAAGAAGATCAGTATTTTAATCTAACTTAACAAGACACTGTTAATCCTTCATTATAATTTTAGTGCAGCTTGCTACAACCAAGTGTTTGCTATTTGGAGTAATCATATTGCCATGTCTTGAATAATTCCTGACATAACATGGGTAGAAAGGAGCAGCTGGGCAGGCAAATTCCTCACAGTTCCTTTTTGCATCCCGCTTCTGAGGGCTGTGTGAAGGGTGCCGAGGTCTTCACCCGCATTCGGACTCATATGGTGACTGTTTTATTTCCATAGCTGAGCAGATACTCATAAGAATGCTTCAGTGGCATTAGTAGATACTTTTGTGTGTGTGTATGTGACTGATTAATCAATGGAAATAAGATTGTCATAGTATAGACCATTCCACCAGTCCTCACTGCTACCGTAGGTTTTGAATTGCCAAAATGACCTCTCTTGTCTGAGAGGCATGGTTATCACCACCTTGGTGCACGGGAAGGGTGAAAATTAGCAATGGAAATTGGATTTCAAGGAGCCAAGACAAGCTTGTACAAAAGCAGTAGCTGCCAGGGTTGCTAGAAGCTGGAGTTAACCATTGTGCTGTGTAGTGACAATGCCTGTGTCGCTTCTTAATTGACTTGAGCAAGAACAGTTCAAGTTAGTTACTGTCAGGTGAATTGAACAGGGGTCTGGTACCTCTGTAGCATGAACAGAACATTAGCTATGGAAGTTGACTGGACAGCAAAAAATAATGACTGGACAAGGCAAAATAAACTGTTGCTTGTTTGTATTGTCATCTGTGCACTTAGAGCTATGCTTAACTCAGGGAGCAGAGGCACAGATTGCCATGTGTGGTCCAACTAGACTTAGTGTGAGGCCACTTACTTCCCTCTGCTGGTTGGAATTTCATCTGTGGGTGTGTATCCATATGCACTTAGAAAAAGATGTATCCTGCCAAGCAGTGAACTTGTTTTATAGAGGCAGAGATTCCTAAATGCTGACAATTAGGGCCCAGGTCATAGAAGCACAAGAACCTGTTTTCATTCCTATTGTTAGCGAAGCCTACGTGGTTATGAAAGTGTGACACCGTGCAGTGATCTTACAGGAGGAAAGTGAATTGTTCTTTTGGACCCATATACTAGGGAGTAGCTATTCGGTAGGTAACTTTTTCACAGATAACAAGGAAGTTAAGCTGTGTGTAGCTGAGTTGGTGAAGCATGATCACCTCAGCTCCAGCTATTGGTCTTTAGCCCTCCCCTGGAGTAATCCTAGTAGAGGTAGAGAGGATTCTGTTCTTATAATCCAGTTCATCCTCTTTTTCTCTTCAAACCCTGCCAGGAGGCAAGACAACCAGTACCAGTTGTACTGGCAGCCAAGGTAAAAGACATTCCAAAGGGGACTTTGTGTTTCTTTATAGTGATTTGTACCATGTGAGCTGTTTTCTCTTCCTCCTTGGCTTGCTTTCATTCTCTCTTGCAGCTGGTTTTGAACAGTTATTTCACAGTTCCATGAAAATAAGCAGAAATTTTGGCCAAGGACATTGGAGCAAGGCCCTCATGCCTGTGCAGAACAGGCAGGATGCTGATCATTTGGAAATCAACAGTGGGATTGTTCCCACTTGTATCTGAACCTGCATTTAAGGGAACGATAGTACAAAGCTGAAGTTAAAAGGTTTTCTTGAATAGAGAATCCTGCCTTCAACTCTGCAAAGGACCAGCCAGATGCCAGCAGAGCTGTGCTTTGGCTGTATGTTTGACATTACAGTGGTATGTTTCTGGGAAGGTGTTGGTATAGCAGGTAACTCTCAGGGCTGTCTGTGTTGTGAATTGTTATCCTTTGTTTACAACATGGGAATTATAGCAAATGCAAAATGCGGGGTGGAGCCCTCCAGAGACAGCTGGTGATGGATTCACTGTGTTAGAGCAGGTAATGATAGTTGCTTGTCTTTGTCTCCAAGGTACTCTCTTTCTCTGGGTATTCTGGCCAAGCTTCAATTCTGTACTACTTAAGAACAACAAGACCAAAGCAATCTACAACACCTACTTTGCCCTTGCAGCGAGTGCTGTAACTGCCTTCGTGTTGTCTCTTCTGACCGCAAAGGATGGAAAATTCAGAATGGTAAGACATGAGAGAAAAATCACTGCATGGAGAAGATATTTTTCTGTTATCTCAGTAATATACTGGAAGTATAATAGCTATTAAATAAAAACAAGTCCAGGTTTTCAGCCTGACAGTCATCATTAGCCTCCCAAGCAGAACACTGAAGCTGTACCTTAGAAATTATGTTCTCAGATTGTAATTTACAGTATACAGTAGCCCAAATTCACCCTAAAGAGATTGCGCTTGCATGAGAATAGCAATCTATGATACTGAGCTCCTGTAAGTGATGACCAAATTCTCACTCCATGTTTTTGTTGTTTTATTTTACAGACTGATATCCACAGTGCAGTACTAGCTGGTGGGGTCACTGTTGGTTATGCAGCAAACATTATCGAGTATCCTTGGATTGCAATGATTTTGGGTCTGCTTGCCAGTGGCATAGGCGTATTAGGATCTTACTGTTTACAGGTAATACTCAAAACCTGAAATTGTTTTTTGTATAAGCTGTATAAATTTCTTTTCCAATGTAACATACCTCAAGGGAAACCTCTCTTTCAAAGAGATTAAAGCTAGGAAACGCGAAGTCTTTTGAGCAGAGTGCAGGATTGCAACTTCCAAGACCAAAGTTCATTTTCTAGGTCTGCAATAGACAATATGCTTTTACCAACTTGTGTTTTAGTGTATCACTTAAACCTTTTCTTCTTCCCAGAGGTGCTTGCATCCTGCTCTCAAGATTCATGATACCTCTGGAATTCATTTCACTTTTGGCTTGCCTGGTGTGCTTGGAGCTCTTGCCCAGGTTGTTCTCTCAGTATTAAAAGAATGGACCGAGTCACCAAGGTACATAAATCACTGCTACTAAGTAATAAGCTTAGCTAATCATTATTGTCATGTTTCCTGAGAAGAGTTCTTACACATACAGAAAGCCCGAATGTCATCACAGATAAATCGTTTTATACCAGATAACATAAGATAATCTCTGAAGTCCAAAAAAGTCAGTAACAAAGACTTTCAGAGTTGAGCAGAGTTTGGATCAAAACTTTAATACTAGCTTTTAGTCCTGTTTTCTGTCTCCCTTCTTATTTGATATTAAATACAGCAGACATAGGAGATGAAGGCTGTGGATATGCATCCTTCCAAGACTGATTTTGGCTTTTGTGATGTGTTTTGGGGAGCTTTGTATGCTAATACGGGGGGGTCGGGGGGGCAGAAATCAGCACTTCTCTTTGAATGAGGCTTTAACTCTGACTCAGAGGCAAGAATGCCACTTTGGACTAAAGCCAGTCTGGACACTGAACTGGAAAATATACTTGGGGAGATACCCTGCAAAAGCTGAAGGGGTCAGTTAAAAATGTTCTCCATAGGTTGTTCTGATCTGGTACTGGCACCTCATTTTTGCAAATCAAGCTCATGTCGTGTCATACAAGAAGTTCTCTGATTTTCTGTTTACACAGGAATGAATCGCGGTGTGGCATAAGGGCCTTACGCTTCTCGTCATGTTCTTATTGAAACAAACAAATTTAATGAAGTTTTAGTACCATAGTGATGGTTTCTAAGGGCAAAATATGTCCTCTGAAGTCTGTATTAGGCTGGATAGAATCTCTTAAAACATCTAACTGCAGCTGCAGAGAGATCTGAGAGTAACAGAATTTTATGAGAGGTCTTGATGTAAAATGCTGTGTAGATAGAGATTCATTAACGCTCTTAATGCTAAATTCAGCAACTGTAAAAGGTGAAACACTTGTTTTGCTTTTCAGACTGGATTATTTGGTCATGATTCCTATTGGTGCCTTCTGCCTGACCATCAGTGTTGCCTTGATCACAGGTTTTATTACAGGTCAGTATTGAAAAACATGTTTCAGTAATTATCTTCCTCATTTCCTCGGGACAAGGGTTATGTCATCTTGCACCTGCTATCATGCCAGTGCAACGCCTTGCAGAAAGAGGCCAGTTTAACTGGGGCTCTGAAATGTGTCTATGGGTGAATTAATTGTAGAAACCATGGAAACATGCCAGGGACTCTTCAAAACCAGACTTTTGAAGAAGAGATGTAGTCAACATAAATAACCTATTAGCACCATTCTTTCATTGGTGAAGTTTATTTTTAGATGCTTAACAGTTGCCTTCAAATTTCAGACAGGAGCTGTGTGAGGATGAAAGTATTTTTACATTTGGGTATTGTCTCAGTGACAGAAAAATGCTGTCTAGAGCTTGTCACTTTTTAGGCCAGTTGGTATGAATCTGCAAAGTTTCAAAAATGTCAGTAGCTTGCTTGCATCAGCCAAGCACTAGGCCTTTGATCACTAGTGGTTTGCAGTCATCAGGGCTCCTGTGTTTCCCATGTGACATACTGTTTTATGGCAGCTGCTGTTTTTCTACAGCTGTTAACTGTCTTGAATAAAAGAGAAATGACAGATGAAAATTGCTGTGTGATACAATCTAAAATAATTTTGATTTTTTTTGTCCTTTAATTGATCTGAAACCTCTGCATTACTTTCGGTGTAATTAAGAAGTTGAGCTAATCAAGCAGATTTTTAAAAAACATTCAGCTAAAATAATCAAACATTCAGTGTTTAACCACTTGTTTAAAAATCCAGATGTTTCCATCTGAAATCCCAAGCTAACAGTGCTGATAAGCCCAATTGCTTTAAAGACACAGGCATTTTTCATGCAAGAAGTTAATAATTTTTGATGTATTTTTAGAATCTGGCAGGCTGTTTAATGGGGTTTTACCTAGAGTAATTAATTTTTAATAACACAAGCCTTGATCCTGGCAAGCTTCTCTCTTTGTATTTAAGGTCAGCTTGAGTCAAGGGGCTCTACTGAAGCATTTAGTTCTGAATGTGTATTTTGATCTATGTTACATTTGGATGTGTGTTACTAAGAAACCTCCAGTTACACACAATCTTCCCCTTTCCCTGATGTACACATTTATATTGGATATATGTGTTTTCACAAATAGGTTTAATCGTAAACCTCAAACTGTTTAAGACCACCCCTGTATCAAAGTACTTTGAAGACCAGTTTTATTGGGAGGTAAGTTTCAATGTAAAATTAACTTTGTGGGAGTATATATAGCACCTTGTTGACCTTGATGAAGAACTCTAGGTATTTGAATTTAAAAAAGGAGAATTCCATTTTGGATGCCCTGTTTGAAATGGATGAACTGTTCCCACAGTTGATTCAGAGCCTGAACATTATAAATGCATGTAGTCTTCAGCTAAGATTGTCAGAGCTGTTGGCGGCCACAGGGCTGAATTGAAATGATCTTGTTTGTTGTAACACATAATCTTAGGTGCTCAGACATCCTCTGGGATTGACAGCCCTGGCCTCTGTGCTTCATACACAGTCCCTGAGGAGACTTGAGCAGCATCTAAGAGAGAGATTTTTAGAAGCCAGTGAATGGAATGGAACGTGCTTTTTATGCAAACAGACCAAGCCTCCTGGCCTTCATGGGTGCAGAGCGGCTGTTCAGTCTGATGCACAAACACAGGCCTTGGGCACCTTTAGGTGCTGAATGTGATGCTATATCTGAATTACAGAAAAAAGAAATGGATGAAAATAAGCTTCTAAGGAGGTTTTCCATTGCCTTTTTCACATGATGATTTGATGCATAAAATGTTCTGATACAAGAATGTTTGTCTTCACAGTTTCCCCATTTGGCTGTTGGATTTTGAATGGAGGAACCCAGATGACAGATTTGACCAAGAAAAGCTTTTCCTGTTTGTCATTAGAGAAAATCAATAACTACGATGGGTTGAAAGAGCACTTAAGTATCAATTCACAGGCTCAAAAAAGCCATCCCAATGGCATCCCACAAAAAAATTAGTAATAAACTGTTGTAGTTATTCTTGAAAGATACAGAGTGTAACTTTACAGATGCAAACTCACGCTGCATTTAGCTTTTCTGCTTTGTTGGCCTTACCTTAAATATTCTTTTGTGGGATACATACAAAAAAGTTGGCTGCATTAATTGCTGTAATGGCTTATCAATACAAATGCTTGGAAACTTTAAACTATTTTTAGCTCCCAAGTTTAAAAGCCAAAATATGTATTTTAAAGTATAATTTTTCAAGGAGTACATACTCATTCTTATCTAGCGAAGCATTCAAGTACTTGTTTTTAAGCTAAATTAATTCTGTTGAAGGCCTCGTTAAGCAAGGATTTGATGAGTAAGCTGGATCAGGGCCAGAACTCTGCATCTTGCCAGACTGAAGTCTTTGAGTTATCTGACTGCTTAAAGAAAAATCTATAATTACTTGGCTCAGGCTAGCTATTTGGAAGTTGAAATGGCAAGAAGTTAAATTGTTCTGCTTGTGGACGGTGCCCCTGAAATCAATGGTATTTACTTGTATTCAAGGTTTGGTAGCAAACCTCAGAACAGCCTGTCTGTGCTGTGACAGTCTGCACCACCATGGGGTCACAGCTGCCCAAAAGGCCCTGGCTGCCCCAAAGGCATAGACAACCAGAGAGACTGAGGGAATAGTCCTTGGTACTGCATGGTACCAAGGCTAAGACCCCATTTCTGAAGCGTTGTATGTTGAGCTGTTTTACTCCGAGACAAGCAGGAGGCTTTGGTGCATGAGCTAGGGCCTGACCAGGCAGAGGATTCTGTGCAAGCAAACCCTTGTTTTTAAATGGATTGTGATCTTCAGCCTTTCTTCTTTGTTTCAAACTAGTTGACCTAGAAAAACTCTTTCAAAAATGCTTACCTAATAAAAAAGTCAAAATTTGATTGTTTTTATTTATTCAGCATGCTTGCTTAAAAATGAAGCAAGGAGGAAAAATGTCATACTGAAGACAAGGCATGAGTTCTTTGATGCTCACTGCAGTAATGCATGCTGACCTTCATTCATTTGGGATTAAGCAAAGTAAATCACTACAGTTAAAGAAGTGTGAGACAGGTTTCAAGTAATGAAAAATTACTTGCTGAGGAAGGGACAGTTTTTCTTACTTCCAGGTCACAAAATAGCCAGTGATCTGCCGAGTTTATCAGCTGCCTGCATTCAGCCTGGACGCACGCTTACATAGTCACACTATCTCACAGTAACACACTACTACCTGTGCAATAGTCTAATCCAGGCTCAGCTTGTGTTCTCCACTTTCTTAACTTCCCAGCAACCAACCAAACATAACTTCTGCAACACAAATGGTTTTCTAGCAGGAGTGCTTTTAAAGAATAGTATTTTATTCCCTCCCTTTTTCCCACATCTCTTTTAGCATTGATTTCTTGGGCAACTAGCCTAGGTGAATGCATAGGAAGGGGCAGATACAGGATCAAAATTCTCCCTGGTAGTGACCGTCCCTGGTCTGAGGAGTACTCTTTGCCACAGAGAGGACTCTGATCTGAGGACTACTCTTCCTTTTTTTTTTTTTTACAGTGGTTAGAAAATAGTTGACAGCAGGCTTTGTGGATGAGCTACTTCCATCTAGAGCCACTTCGTCATTTGTACTTGTGCCTCTACAATGTCATCCACAGCAGCTGTAAGTTGTTACTCACCATTATTGCCACAGGATAAATTAAATATTTGGGGGGGGAATCCCAAAGCAGCATAGTTCTATATTATGCAAGAAAAGCCACACACAGTAAGTTTTGAAATTGAAGAAATGGTTATATTGTCCAGATATAGGAAATATTTAATAAATATATGTTAAAAAGTTGTTTTAAAGCATTTAGTAAGTCTTGGACTGTAGATAACGTCATAGAAACAGCTGGTTAAATACATCCATTTTCCACTATACTATTTACTTGTAGCAAACATTATATCATAAAAGTGACTGCCATTGTTACTCGTAGCAATTTTACGTTTGTCAAAAACATTACAACATTTAAATCAACATACAAGAGTAAAAAAAAGGAAACAGAATAGAACCAGAATTTTTAGTGCTATGATTTAAGTTTTCCTTATTTTATCTTTAGACACAATTGAAGGTTACGGTTTACAAAATGGTTTTACAAAATTTGGGAGTGTGCAGTTAAAAAAACAGCATGGCCAATGCACTTCCACAGGCATGTTCATTGCCACAAGTCTTCCGTGCGACCGAATTTAAAGACCAGTCCTCTGTTTAAAACAGAATAAAGGGACATGAGTACATAATGGAGCAAATCAAATAACTAGTACTTTAAATACATGATTTCAGGGAGCAAGTTGTAGTATTTGTAAATCCAATGCCTGGTCCTGCAACGAAACCTATGCAGACAGATCCCAGAGATCTACTGCCTTTACCAGCAGTTTATTCACACGTGTCTAGTTACCAAACAGGGTTTAAGAAAAAAAAAACAAAAACAGATTACAGGATGTTTCAGTTTTTATCATTAAAAACAAATTAGACAAAAAATGAACAATGGAAGATAGTCTTACCCAAAAAAGATGAACGCATTCTGGAAGAACACAGCTATTCCTGGGTATACTACTGGTTTTTCTAACACAAGAAAAAAATCTCCATAAATTTTTTTGAAGTCATTTTCAAGCATATCCCATCTCTGACATTTCAGAGACACTAAATTGCACTTGCTAACAAAGATAACCTGTTTCATTTAAATAGGAATATCTGGAGTCTATGCACTGTGAAGCAGTGGTAAGGAGCCAAGTTTGATAGAGGGATCCATTACCATGTAGGATTCCCAACAAGATGCAGGAGTGAAGTGACAACAAACTCTTAGTGCTGTTGCTACTACACAACACATCTACCTAAGCCAGATTGTTCTCTCATACAATTAAGACAGCACTGTGCAGACCCCTTTCTTTCTCTAACAAGATGGTCACCTCCAATCTCTGTTGCTCAGTGGTGTGACGCAGAACACAAGCATAAGCCTTACCTCACTGGAAATTTAACTCAACAGCTTTTGTGCTTCCCCGCCATCATTCAGCTTTCCAAATAAAAGAAGCCTGTCCTGTTCTATAACCAAAAATGTGCCTCTCAAATGCAATGCTCACGAAGACTGTAATTACTACATGGGACTGCACATCCTGTTTGGAATGCATGTGTGTCTAAATATATATACATATATATTCATATATATCGACACACAAAGTGGGAGTGCACATTAGCACTCCTATGCAACTAACACACCTAGGTTTCCTTGAAAATCCCCTGTGCACTGAGTAAGGCGAAAGCTGACAAGAATGTAAACAAAACCACCAATGTGCCCTGACTAGTCTGAAATTCACTTCAGCTCCACATACAAGTAGTATCTTTACATTTACTTAAGTGACCTAACTTCCTTTTGAAGAACAAAGACTAACACACTGCAGTTTTCACATCTTTCTCAAGACTTGCCTTCACAAAAAGTTACTGTGGTACATGTTAAGGTATGAATTTAAATAGGCAATTTGAATTAATTTCTTCCCTTTTGCTAATTTAGCATATAGGCTTTGGGAGCAATCTGCATGAAGTCAGTAATTTTTATTCTGGGAATAAGCGTTCATCCAGGGAATTATTCCCATATAACTGCAGCAGTCTAATTGTATCAGTACAGTTCTCAGTTGAGACCTGTGTTTCTAGTGAGGCTAGTTAGAAGTTTGTGACTTAGAAGTAGAGAAAATCCATCCCAATAATAGTAGATAGTATGGAATAGTGGTGCGTAGGGAACCAAAATATTAAAACTGGCCCTGCCTAGAAACTTAACTAAAAATAAGTTCTAAAATTCAATAGTCATTTAAAATACTTTAAATTTTCAAAAATGGATCAGGTCGCATTCCATGCTGTTTCTTACCTTTAACAACATAGCCTCCAAAAAGGATCCACATGGAAGCAATCAGAGATCCAAAAGCCATCATAAAACCAATGAAGAGCCAGATCCGAGCACCTTGAAAAAGATATAGGGATGTTCTGTGCCTCTGTCCCGAGTACAGACATTTGTGACTTTCAGCATGCTTTTGTTTCAGAGCACCTGTCACACACCAGAGCTATGCACAGATACACAATGTGCACACTGGTACAGCTCTTACAACTCTTCCAAGACTAAGGGCTTCACAGATCTATCGCTATACAATAGCCTACGCCACCGTACCTGTTTGTCCTAGACAGCCTTCACTGTAACTGTCACCCCGCACTTGTCCATTAGACACGGCATTGATCCTGTACCAGCAAAACAGGATAAAACGGGGTAAACATAGGTAAAGCAAGAAGTAAGCATTTACAAAACAATAGGAGAAACTTCTCAGAAACCTATATAGAATGGATGATGTTGTGGGTTTTGGTTTTGTTTTTTTTTTAAAAGAAAGACAAGGCTAAACTTGGAAAGCATTTCTCCAGACTAATAAGACTTAGACCTGCACTATATACTTAATTTTTAAAAAATGGTTCCTTACTATAAATATCAACAAATATAAGAAAGATATTAGAGATACTCAGATAGTAATTTGATTTGTTATTCTTAGTTACCTCTCCATTTAATACTATGTGTTCTTTTATTAATTGCATAAAATAAGTTCTAGGAGTGTGTAGCTCTGATCAAGACGTTACACTTACATTAGGAACGCAATAGTGGCTATAACCCCACAAGCATGGTATGAATGGTTGAAGTCTTCCACTTTAGGGTATTTTACAGCTGCATCTATGATTATCCACCAACCTGTAAAAAACTATTAAAAAAGAAGAAAAAGCACAATACCTTAAAATACGGACATGAGCCTTTTAACAATGTATAAGATTACTCTAGAAAACATTAACATATAAAATCATTCTTACAGTCTCCAACCCAGAGTCAACTGATAGCGTAACTAGTTTTGATATCAACTTAGGAACAAGGTTAAATGCAAAGCTGGAGATTTACCTACTCCCAATAGTTATTACATGGGTAGAAACTGCGAAACCTAAGTAGCACATGGATGCAAGCACCCCAAACAGATTTTGTCATTAATTCTGCTCCTGCATACAAGGACTATGTATACCTGTTCTTCCTTTTACTTCAGACAGCTAATAATTTTTAGCTCATCGACAGCTGACTACATCTAAAAAGCCCAAAAGCAGCGTAAGAGAAGCCGTACGTACCAGCACTCCTGCAGCAACAGAAGCGATCGTGTTTCGTTTCTCTCCCCAGTCAACACACTCCGAGCACCTCAAGCTCTCAAGAAAACCTGACATTTTTCAGCGCTCTGAAGAACTGCAGAAGAAAAAGGGACTTTTCTTTCCAAGAGGAAACGCATCGCACATCAGGAGCTGGCATACAGCAATGCGCACCGTGCGAGGCAGCTTAGAACCGCGAAACGCTACCACAGCCGGGGCCCCCCCGAAGGACGACCGAGCAGAGCAGCTGACAGACCCTGGCCACCAGCACCCACCCGGGACACCGCTGGAGAGGCGACGGCCTACAAACCGAAGACACTGCCGGTCAGCGCAGCCAGCCCGCGGAGGCGGGGGCCCCGCCGCCCTCCCGCACCCAAGGCCGGAGACATCTAGCGGGGCTACGGCCATCCGGGAGGGGAGGAGAAGGCTCCGCTCAAGCGTCCCGCCCTACCCGGGGAGCGCTCAGGCCCCGAACCGGCGCCTCACTCCCCGCTTACCTGAGGGCGGGGAACGACCGTTGGCCGCCAGCCACCCCCACCTCGCCACCGACCCCGCCCACACGGCGCATGCGCGGCGCTCCGCCGACCCCCCCTCCGCTGGAGACGGGGCGGCTGCGCGCAGGCGCACTGGGTTGCAGGCGACTCCCAAACGGATCCTACTGCGCATAGGCTGCAGTACTGGCGGCGGGGGAGTGATGGCGGGCGGTGCGCATGCGCGGGGAAGGAACCCCCCCCCCCCCCCGCGCCTGCGCCCTGGTTCCCCGTTACGTAAGGGGAGGGGAGTGTTCTGGAAGGTTCTCGGCTTCCCTCAGTCGCTGCTGGGCGGCGGGAGCGGGCGGCGGCTGTTGTGAGGGCTGAGTCCTGCCGGGGGTTGTGTCGCGGTTTGTTTCTTGGGTGGAGGAGCCTGGCTGGTCGCTATGGGGGTGACTCATGAAGCGGGGTTGTCTCCTCAGGCGTCGCCGCTGGAGCAGGATCCGTGTGGGGGAAGCCCGGCTGGCTGGAGCCGGTGAGTTGGTGGGGAACGGTGGGGGGGG